AAGTGCCCACAAGTCCCACTCACAGGTTATTTTATCTCCCAAACAAACTAAATGGTTTTAACATCTCAAAACTACATGGTTTAATTAGGATTATACAAATCCCCACTGCTTCTTGTAACTCCAGCCATGGCAACTAATAGTGTCTGAATCACACTCAAGCCTTTCTTACTTTAGGGCAAGACCTGGTGGTGACCCTTACAATTTACTTTGCCTAATTTGTTCCCTTTTATAACTTCTGAGCTTTTGTCCTGGTGGAAGAACAAACAGATTGGTTTCTAACTACCTCAGAGAGAGTCCACTTTTCCCAGAGAAATTGGACTGCCTGTGGCAACACCTGAGGCGTGTCAGCTGGACAGCCCTGTCTGAGCATGGAGAGAATGGGGAAAAGGGGAAAAAAGGGGTCTTGGATCATTTACATAGAACAACATTTACAACACAACAGATGGTCACATGGAGACTCCTCCATAAGTTTGCTTTTGGTAAAAAAAATGAAGACACATCCTGCAGTTAAGTATTTTTAGCATCTCCAAGCATGGCAATATTTTGCCTTTCTCAATAAAAGGTAATCATATAATTTCATTCTTTTATGCTTTACTGCTTTACTTCCATTTGGCTGCTTTTCTGAAAAATGACAGGGTTAAAACAAAGGTCAGGAGGAACCAGCCAGCACTAAGAAAACCATCCCTGAGTCAGGAGGAATCAATTTAACTCCATTCTGTATCCATATGTATTTCTCTGCTCCTGTATCTCCTAATATTCTCAGGAATATTTCATTTGCCACCATTTCCCCCAATATCAATTCCCCTCCCTTTTAGTTATTCCCCCTCCTTTTAATTATTATTATTATTTTAATTATGTCCTTTTAAGAAATTGTGCTGACTGTGCCTACATGTATACAGACTCACATACATTTTTGATTTGTAAAGGAAAAATCCATAGTTTGTTCTGGAATGGTCACTTGTATAGATTTTTTTTTAAAGTATGAATAAGTTCCATTATTTGACTGAAATCAAGAAAAAAGCTGGAAAAAGCTTGCAGTATGACTAAAGGCAGAAGGCATCATGAGCTCATAGCTGTATTTTTTGCCAACTATACCCAATATTCTGTGATTCATTATTCACACAGGTGCTTCAGAAAAGAAATTAGGATGGAAATAAATACATGGAAAAAGCAAAGTCTTTGTCTTCCTGTAATTCATATGCTTCATGAACACAATGGTTCCATATTTTAACATCATGATAGGAGGCATTATTTTATATTTGTGAGGATGCCCTTTTGAGGCACCTGATAGAGATTTTGGGTAATTAGCTTTCACACCCTTTCCAATTAAAAAAAAAAAATAAAGAAAAGAAAATACAAAAAGGGAAGTCATTCTAGTGAGGTGCTGGATATGCCCAGTTGTGTCTGTTTTCCCCCCAGCCAGGTCAGCTTCCAAATCCATGGGTTTAGTTCCTACTCCTGGTTTTGGAGCCCCTGTGTCTGAGTCAGTCTGGAAACTGTTCCCACTGCCAGGTTATTAACATGGAGATGAGCACACAGGGCAATTAAAGAAAATAAAACTAAGCACCACAACATAACACAACGGGGGAGAGAGGACAAGGAGGGGTGGGTCAGCAGAGTTTTTCAGTGTGAGGAAAACAACACATGTTTTCCCTCACCCAGACTCCAAAAGAGCTGAATCATTTTGTTTTTCTAAACAACAGAGATGCCAGGCATGGAAAATTATAGTTCAAATGATTCAAATCTGGCAAAAAATAAATTAAAAAAATGTGAGCAATTGAAAATAGAGGCAGGGCCAACACACTGAAAGGAGCAATTCTACCTGCAGTGGAGCTGGAAGATTGCTGCTGCTCCTGCAATCCATGGGATGTAGGCACATGGATCACCCAGGCTGCTCTGGGACAGCAAAGGCCACAATCATCTGGGATGCCTGAGACACAAACCATTCTCAGGTACAACTCTGGCATTAAAAGGTGGCACTAAATGGCACCTCAGAATAGCTGTTCAAACACATTTGTTCTAAAAACACTGACTAATTATTAGCACTATTAGCTAAAATAGTGCTTTATTGCCCATTTGAATTATTTATATGGTGCTGCTGATCACTAAAAGAGAAAGACCTGATAAACAAGGTGTATGTTCATTTTAACTTACACTTAATTTCAACACCTTGTAAAGACTGCAAAACATATTTCTTAGCTATAGGATTAATATTTGCTAGATAAGCAATTAATTATTTTACATTAATCTACAAGTGCAAGAAATGCAAGGAAAACCAAGTAGCTGTGGACAGTGATGTGATACCATGGCTTTTCTGAAAGGATATTCCTGAGGTTTTACTAATAAAATAAAAGCTAATAAATAGCATGTAAGGTATTTAGATGGCCCAGTCCAGATGGGCTGAGCAAGTGATTAATAAACAAAACTGGCAATATAATATAATGCTGTGGCACAGGTATCATCTCACCTCGAATTGCTAAATATGAAAAACAGGAAAATCTCTGCTGACCCCAGGTTCTGCAGACTTTCAGCAATGGTGACATCAGTTGTACCCAACACTGATTGCTCACTCCATGCATCCCAGGAATGGGTCAGGATGAAGCACATCCCTGCAAAGGCAGCTAATACAGGGTTAGGTGCTTAACTGGGAAATACAGCCAAGCTTTTCTGTGTCCTCAGCACCTGGCAATGCCATTCCCATGCTAACTCTGCTGGATGCTGAAAAGGCAAAAAGGACACCCAGATCCCAGGTGGGCACGGTGTGGGATCCCTGAATGAAGTGGCACAGAATTCAGCCCAGATTAGTTTTCTTTTCTGCAATCTGGTATATCTATGCTTGCTTTAATAAGTCCTGTGATTTGGTGAGAAATGAGCATGTGCACATTTATTCTTTTGATGGCAAAATCGCACCACATTCATTGGACACCGATGCCTGATACAAACTCTGCCACTCATTTTCACCAAAATAAACAAAGCCTCGAAAACAGCACACAAATTTCTTCATGTCTGGATCCTGTTGTTTTTACAGCATAGCATAGCTTTCATATCATCAAATTTCCAAGCAGCAATGCCAAAGAATCATCCTTTTAAGGCTGCTGAGAAAGGGGCATAGTGGAGGTGACTCAAAGGAATAGATGCTGCAGCTCCAACCACTCTCATTATGTACATATGAGATGCCTCGATGTTCCTGCCTGCTGATTACATGAGCAAACATTTTTAGTATGCAAAATCCTATTAACTCAAGGGGATTCTGCATAATTTTATAACAGCTCCACTTGTGGTGTTTGATCGACTGGGTCAGCAGCAGACAGATGGCAAAGAATTAATTCTAAGGCTGCTTTATTGCAGTGCTGGCGTCAGGGTTTCCTCTACTCACTCCACTCAGATAAAATGGAACTTTTTCCACTTTCCTTACACCTTTTTCTGTTCTAAGAGCAAGACCAAGAATGCTGAAGTTGTCAGCACAAAGAAGAAGACAAATGAAAGCTCTTCTGTGTAATATTTGCCCTCCCCCGAAAAAATCCCAAACCAAAAAGGAAATTTAACCACCAAGACATAAGGTAACACAATAATCCAAGAGATTACCCTGGAACACATCCTTCCCATAATTAGGGTTTTCTCCTGCTCCATTTCATAATTCTGAGGTGCAGAGATAAGTATTAGCCAGTACTTAGTGAATTGTGCTTACCATGTATTTAGATAGAATATTATTAGCAGTCTGAAAATGGTGCCTAAAATTAAATTATTAATGCACCGTTTCCCCAGTTTGAGGAAAATGGTCCCAAAAGTAAACAACAATCTGGCTAGGATTTGCAAGCAGAACTCTTAAGCTCTTGAGATGCACAACTTATGCCCAGAAAACCTTCAAAATATGGAGGGAATTAAACTGATACAGAAATATTTGGCGGAGGTTTTTTTTGAAAGCCCTGTAACTGCACGTGAACTTGGAGGAGTTAACTCAGAGACCCACATGGATCCAGCAAAAATTCCAACTGTTTCACTTGTCAAAGCACTGTTCCTTGAAGCTTCTGGCAGCATTATCCAAAGTGGGTCCAAAAGGTAATGGGGGAGCCACACCAAGGAAAAATAAACTGGGATTTCTTTTAGCTGAAAAACTCCTTGATTTGGGGAAACAAAAAGTCCCCTCCTGTTCAGTGCCTGTTCATGGCACTGTGCCATCATTCTTCCAGAAGCACAGATTTTTGTAACTTGAAAAAAACTCTTCTGGTTTGTTTTGGGGTTGTTTTTATTTTTTCAAATATTACAGTTTCCATCTCGAGTTCTCACGTGTCAGTTTGCATTAGGAATGTTTCTCTGACATTCAGGCTAATTAAGCCTGCTTCAGAAATAAGGGCTTGAGGTTGTCAGCCATACCTGACAACCCTTTGGACAAACGATTCTCTTCCATTTGGATTTTTAATTAAGCTTACTGAAAGTGCTTTCATATCAGAAAATGGAGGTAAAATTGTGACTAATCCAAAGCAAGACTTCCATTTTCTTTTGGAGATAACAGATGGCAGCTCCAGCCTCTAATGCTGATGGTGCACTAAGCCAATCCCATCCCTGAAACTTAGCCCAGCATTTTGGCCTCACATGTAAGGAAGGAAGAGCTGCCTTTTGGCTAAATCAAGAAGGGCCAAGCAAACCAAAGTGCCCAGACAATCCTTGGATCACTCTTACATGGTCTAGGATCTGTCTTACATGGGACTGGAGATCAGCACAGAGCAAGGCACATCTAACTGCAGAACACCAAGGATTTCACCTTTTGTCACCCACAGAATTCTCAAACTCATTAACAGTGTCACCAGAGGGTGTTTTTTCTCTTATTCCTAAGTATTCCAGGACACCTTCACTTAGTGAATCAGAAAAAATCCAAGGTTTTCACTCACTCACTCCACACCTGTGTTCAGCCTTGTAGGGTGTGGCTTCTCCCCAAACCCAAGTTCACATGATATTTTCTTCCCAATATTTCAAGGGGGAGAGGTATTTCCTTTTTTTACCTGAAATGGAGACTGGCTGTTGTAATTCTTGATCTCCTTGTTGGCTCCCCGGAATAGCAGCACCCTTGCACAGCTCTCCTGAAAACGATGGAAAAGGAAACTTGTTCATAAGGATCCTTTGGCATTAAAGAGACTTTGACTGCTAAGAGGTTATGAGGGGTTTGGTCTGTATTTTCATGATAAAAAAAATAAACCAAATAAATGATCTGAGAACTTAAATTGTTAAAACAGCATTTTAAAAATGACAGGGCTTCAGGTGCTTTGCAGTGCATTACAAACACTAGACAAGTATAAAGAAACATGCAGCAATGCAAGAAGTAAATACCTTATTACATTTTTAAACAACTGTACTGACAAAGTTCCGTATTTGACAAATCAGATTTTGCAGAAATTTGACTCCCATATGTGCTTTTTGCCTATTTTGTAGGAAAAAACAATATTGTACATAGAACTGGGATCATTATATCCTTCCATCCTGCTAAAAATTAAACAAAGCTGTTTTACCACTTATTTTGTTGGGGACTTTTTTTTACCTATCCTCAATATTAAATGTATGATATTTTCTTTAGTACAAATGAAATTATTTATCTGTCTATACACACTGCATTGACCAGCCTTGTTGCCTCCCTTTTCCCCTAAAAAATGCTAGCAGTTGCAGCACAAGGAGGAAAATCTGGCTTCGGAAACTCCAAACTGAGAAAATCTACAAAGGAAATCCCTTAAAAACAATTTATTTTGTCCAATACAGTGCACTGGTTAAATTATTGCTCTCCATGGCTGTTAAATATAACTGACCACAATCTGGTAGAAATCCCTGGAGGTTCTGAGTGGATTCTCAGAATTTTTGATGATTCCTGTATGGACTCTGTTTCTTGTCATCTTGAATGTTCATCTTGCATATAAGCTCACATTTCAAAAGGGTTTTATATTCCCTGATTATAAATATTGTTCTTGATTTTGTTGTGCTTTCTGGGTTGTCTTGATATGTTGTGCTGTGGAGTTCTACCTAATGAGGTATTTGGATGTGCTACCTTTCACTTTGAACAGTAAATTTGCAGTCAGAGAAGACAAAGTGCATAATTTAGGTATTTTAGTGACAGTAATGAAGCTTGTTTACTAGACTCTGAGTCACAGGTTAATTTACAGGAATTATGATTCAAAATCATTTCTGTCATTGTGTTTTCTAATTTCCCACACAGGATTCTTGGTCCCATTAAGTCTCCCAATCACAGGGCTACCCTAAGAGTATCTGAAAAGGAGGTTATCCTACCTTTTCCTCAACTGAAAAACAACAGAATGGATCAAGATGGTAAATTATCAATTATCTCTTGGATTAAAATTTTTAATGATATACAATTAACTGAGATAGTCTCGTTTGTTAGAACTGCAATCTGCACTTGAGTTGCATTCTCTCTATCTCTAAACAATTGATCAATGCCCAATTTTAATCAAGAACTTGAGGACGTAAATAATTATATTGAAAAACATACTGTATTTATTGGCTGATTATTCATTTGTTTATCAGAATAAATCATCCAATATTACAATACCGAAAGAATTATACATTTAAAGACTCTACAAATTTAACTGAGCTGTCTTCTGTGCAACAAAAACATGCAAAGGGATTTAATAACTAAATGGTTGTGATTAGAAAAGTTTTGCCAAAAGCTGTCAAAGAGCTGTTCAACATTTAAAAAATCCAAGAAAATGTATTTGGGTTAAGAACTGTGTTTGTTTGTTTATTTAGTTTTAGTCTTTTGAAACAAACAGAAGCATTCTTAACTTCACCTTTGCTCCTTTTTGTTTTGTCCCTATCTGTCAGATTATATTCCATTTTAATACTACAGCAGCTTTCACCTCAGATCCAGTCCTCCCAGTGAAAGAGGGAACATTTCATCCCAGCAAAAACCAGAATTCCTGCATGGCCGTGGAATAACTTTCAAAACCAAGAGTTTATTCAGATCAGGACTTCGCTGACATCCAGGAAAACAAAGTGACCAACTTCAGAAAATAACCCAGGAAAACTCCCCCGAGGAGACTGGAAGATCAAACGGGTAACGACTCCATCTACAGGAATCGGGAGGTAAGAAGGATCCTGCTGTCCCTGCCATCCTCGCCAGCTGCAAAAGGCAGCACCATTCCTTCCATGTGAACCAATAACAACTTTCCATTAAAATAAAATAAAATAAAATAAAATAAAATAAAATAAAATAAAATAAAATAAAATAAAATAAAATAAAATAAAATAAAATAAAATAAAATAAACACTGGCAAAATCAGCACAGATTAAGGTTCACAGCATCCCGAGGGAAACTTCTTATTTCCACATACACTGGATGAAGGAAAACAGAAGGACAACAGTACAGGCAGAAGATGTTAAAGTTCCATTCACCAAGCCAAGCTTAGTGAGTGTTTAAATATTTGAAAATTTGTAGATGCAGTTTCAATTAGAATCTCTAAGTCTCCTGCAGAATAACTTCTACTGAGGCCAGGAAAACACATCTCTGCATAAAAACACTGTCATTCTACAGGACTACTCTAATTCCCACCTCATACTGCACAACCTTTGCTAAAAGTGTATGCTCTTAAAAAATGTCAGATTATCCCCAAGATTGTTTTTTTTTTTTTTTTTAAGCTGAGGGCATTTTAGACCTAATTGAGGAATCTGTCTTGACAAGACTTTAGGAAAAAAGCTAAGATGGTAATTAATTAAGAAGCAGATGCTTTGACAGATGTTTTGCTGTTTACAGTCACATCTCATGCTTTCCAAATTTAATGTAATATTTTAGGTGCTCAATTTTAACACAGTTAAAACTCATCCCCTCCCAATCCCATCCCTGCAAAGAGAATATAAAATGCTATGAAATCAAAAGGTTCTACTACACAAATTGTAAACAGCAAAGAATCCAGTATCTTCTGTATAGAGATATTTCCACAGCATTTTATAACTCTTTCTTATTTAATTCGAAATTAAATTATAGAATAACAGCAATAAATTCTGTATAGGAAACAAATACTTAGATATGAATCAAACCCAAAACAGCTGGTAAAGCATAAGGTTTAATTTCTAATAGCCATACTCTTGCTACTTACAATGAGCAGCCTTATTTGTAATCAGTGAATGAAACATCAATAAAATAATTTTAATTATGTTCTTTCCAGCTTCTAAGACCACTTTTTAAAGCCTGAAGCACTTCATTGCATATAAAATAATGTAGTGATAAGATGAAGGGGAAAGGCTTCAAATTGAAAGCGAGCAGGTTTAGATCAGATATTGGGAAAGAATTCCTCCCAGAGAGGCTGGTGAGGCCCTGGGGAAGTTGAGGATGGATGGTTCATCCATGGAAAGGCTGGTGAAAGCCCTGGGGAAGTTGTGGATGGATGGTTCATCCATGGAAAGGCTGGTGAGGCTCTGGGGAAGTTGTGGATGGTTCACCCCCTGAGTGTTCAAGGCTAGGTTGGATGGGGATTGGAGCAGCGAGGCGTAGCAGAAGGGGATCGGAACTGGATGATCTTCAAGCTCCCTTCCAAGCCAACCCATCTCGTGATTCTTTGAGCTCCCAGCTCCTTCTGGGGACATTTCTGTCCCTGCAGGGGCCAGCAGGCTGGTGGCAGGGCAGGGGCTCTCACCTGGTTGTAGAGGGCACAGATGTGCAGGGCCGTGTTCCCCGAGGCGTTCTGCGCGCACATGTCGGCGCCGTAGAACAGCAGGTGCTCCAGGTGTTGGACGTGTCCGTACCTGCAAGCCTGGGCAGGGATGCATCAATATTTTGGTTATTACACAGCCTAGGCAAGACTTCCAGAGAATCATTCTCAGCAGAGAAGGTGCTGTTTTTATTGAGGGTTTTAATTTTTAGAACCACTCCTGGTTCTCTGATGGGAGCACAAGCAGCCAGATGTGCATTCCTGCACCAACCCCAGTGTGGGCACTTCAGGTACAGCAATCCTGTGCTTGGCTTTAACCATCTGAATATTTTGGGAATGGCAACCTAAGGGATCAAGTAAATACTGCCTTCGGAACTTTTTATCCGCTATGTTCATGACTCAAATGTGACAAGTTTTCTGTCCTGCTGCACTCCGGAACGCTGCCCACCAGATGGCACTGAAGATGATCAGAGTGCCAGAGCTTTTTCCCGAACTTCTTACACGCCTTAGAAGGAAAATCTGGCCAAAATCCAAGCAAATCTTGGTTCTGTGATGTCAAGCAAACACACAGCATACACAGAGCACTGCTCCAAAACAGGGGCAAATCTTCAAGAGTTACTTTATCTGTCACTCAAACAAAAGGTTAGGCCCTGGATTTTTGGAAAAAAAGCCTCTATGAAGAAGATTCGTGGAAATTAGAAACTTTCCTGATTAGCAAATAAGCTTTAGAAAAATCACAGTAATTCTAGTCCTCAGCCTCTTTTACTTGACTTCTTTCTCCTCTATGGCTCACTGACCAAGCACTTCCCAACTTCTAACGTTTTGAACTTTGTGGTACCTCAGATCAGCATCATTGCTGCATAAATCAGAATTTAAGGTAAGAGATACAGATATAGAAATCCATTCAGACTTTCTGAGGTACCTCATCACTCCTGAAATTAGTGGGAGGTACAGACTGACACACCTGGCTTGGATCTACAATTTGGAAGAGAAAATTTAAGTGGACTGCTGAGTGCACAAATTAAATCCCCATCCTTCTTGATTCACTGGGGAATGTTTGAATTATTGATTAGTCAAACCAGATTGTTCCTAACCCAGATGTAAACATTGATTTATTTAGGATTACAACCAACACAGGGGGTTTGGAAAGCTCTATTTAATTATGAGAAGTAATAACCTTATGAGTATGAGGCTGGGGTTTAAAAAGAGGGACATTTTCTCTGTGTTTTCAGGGAGTCCAGATAGGGTAATACTTTGATCTAGACAATCCACTTTCTCCACATCCTCAGAAAATACGGTAATAAAATAATTCCTTTCTTTTCCTCCACTCTAGAGATGGATCCAAACAACCTTGACCTGGACCCACTTAGTGAAAAAGATCAGATTCAAAATTCAAGTGTGGATGCCAAAGCTACCTCCCATTTCTTTGCAAGAAAAGAAGAAAAAAAGCTGTGAACTGAAGAATTTAGTGCACAGAAAATAGAGTCAAAATGACCCAGGAAGACCTGTAAGGTTGATTACTTGCATCTTTATTTATCTCATACTACAGCAGTTCCAATTTTTGTAATTATCCAAACTCATCCATACAGAGAAATGATGAAGTAGCTGCAATGACACTGGGACTGTTAGAATCTTTAAACTTCATCTATTACTGACTTTATCACTATGCAAAGGGAAACCAATAAAGCATTTTTACACAACTACTGGATAACATTCAGGCATTTGTGGAGAGGACAGTGAGAGGCTGATGGACCCAACAACAGGATCCTGAACCCAAATCTTCCTGTAGAGTTCAGCAGAGACAAGGGGAAAGCCCCCTGACAAAAACACAAGGAGCATTACCAAGGACACTGACATTGGCATCTAACCAAAAGATTGAGCTCCATTTTCCTACTGAAGTGCCACGAACTGGAATCTAAACCTGCAAGAGTCCATGATATAAAAATGGCCAGTGCAATTTCTGCAGCAAAAACCACAGTAACCAGAGGATTGCAAAGTTACAGAACACCACTGGAACAGTTTTCTACTTCTAAGTCACCACAGCAGGATGCAAAGTGAATAAATAAAAAGAAGTTGAAAATGCAGATAGACAAAGGGAGGAATTTCATACTTGAATGTGCAGCTACTTCAAAATAGCACTTAACCCTAGAACGACCGTGGCACATTTCCTCATGCAAGTCCCAAAATAGCAAATCTTTCCTACCTGATGAATTTCTTGCCATCCATTTTCATCCTTGCAGCTGACTGTAGCATGTTCATGGAGTAAGAGCTCACAGCAGAAAGGGTCCCCTCCCACCACAGCTGTGTGGTACAGAGGGGTCAGGCCACAGCTGTCCTTGTAGTTGGGAGATGCTCCCAGCTCTAAAAGGGTCTGAAAGCAATCACAGACTGTGAAAAATAGATTTGGGAGGGACTTCTGCCTATTTTACCTGAAAAAATACCCGAAGAAGTATGTAGAAGGTTGATACTTGACATAACATCTTCTGCTCACCTATTTATCAGCTGGTAAGAGTGGGCCACAGCACAGACTAAGTTAAGCAAGAAATGACCTTGGAAGAATTAGGATCTAAAGGGATCTATGGGCATGGCACAGAAAGAAGGAGTGGCAATGTCCAGTTTCCATCCTCTCACTAGGTTCAGAAATGTCAGCTCTGAAAATGCTGCATCACCTTTGCAACACATTCACCTCTTCAGTTCCAAGGTGCTTTCTCAAAAATGTCATGCAATTTGAGTATCTGTCAAAAGGGAATAAGCAAAAGCCATAAACCTAAGACTTAACCTAGACCATCAGTGTGATTTAAGAATACCTGTTAAAATACAAAAGGAAACAGAAGACACTGTGTTAAGGCATAATGTGCAATCCATGCCACTGGAAGCTGCTTTCAAAGAGGTAAGTGACAATAATGCTGTTCCTATTTCCTCAGACAGATCTCAGTGTATCAATGAATAAGCTTAAATTTCACCACTTTTTCTTCCTACCAGGAAAAGATAAATCAGAAATTGAAAGTCTTTTCATGGAAAGCAAATGCTAAGATTTGAAAGCCACAAGAAAGCACTAGAACAAGCACATCTTAAAGGATCCATGGAGGACAATACAATAATTAACTGAAAATAGTCTCCTTTATGCATTTTTTTTTTAATAAGATAGCACATAATTTCTTTCTGAAATTGTTTACCTTGAGGGCTACTTGATTCTTGGCTCTGGCTGCTTTGTGCAGAGCTGTCATTCCATCCTTGGCTCTGAAGTCTAAATGTGCTCCTCCATTTTTCAGGGCTTTTATCACTTCTACTGTATTGTCAAGCTGAGCTGCCAGAGTTAGGGGTGTTTCTAAGGAAGAGAATAGGATACACTTGGAAAAAGGTGAGCAAAATTATAAAATAAAGTTAAGCTACTTCATAAAATAATGTTTAAAATACTGTTCAAAGAAAATCAGAAAATTATCAATTATCTCCTTTGGACAGCAAAGCCCTACAGATTCCACTGGCTCAGAGGTGTGAAGGAATGTGTGAGATTCAGCCTGTTAATCAATTTAAGTTTAAATAACTCAAGGTACTCCTGTATGCTGCTTAGTTTTATTGTTCTGACCTCCACTTTCTAAGTCATGATAGTTTGGGTCCAGTCCTCGGTCCAACATCTTGGTCATTTTTTCCACAGAGAGATGGTGGACATGATCCATAAATTTTTTCAAATTGGCCTGAAACAAAGAATAAAAAATGAATCATCCTCTGATTTCAAAAATAAAATTTTGACTAAAAACGAAGCATTTTGTCAACTGGTGTCAACACCCATTGGAGGTAATTGCTAACTCCTGCAGGAAATTGGAGTACCTTGGTGTGAAGCTTGGCCAGCTGCTTTTCATCGAGGTTGAACTGCCTGTACACTCTTTTCTTGTAGCGAAACTGAGGGAGGAAAAAGAAGAAGAAATTTGAAAACTTAAAGCCCATAATATCATTTTCTAACCTTACCAGGAAGCATCATCCACAGTGATAGTAGATTTAGGAAAAAAATTTTAAGTCTTAGAAATAGGCTCAGTATTTCATATAGTTTTACATCATTTAAGTAAAATTCATATCTTGTACAAATACACTGAGATCAGTGGACGTGTGTTGGAAATGAGATCAGCCTCTAGAATCTACAGAAATAAGCAAGAATTACACTGAAAACAGCTTTTCCCCAAGGATTTCTGTGTACTTTCATTTATAGTCTCAGACAGAAAGAGCTGGGAAGGCATGTTAAATAAAAAACTAACGATTTCAAAACTGCAGCTTAGCATTTCTGAAATATAAAAACAAAAAAAGTATACCTGAAAATCCCTTAGTTAAAGTAAGAGGAACTTGCATATGGGAATAGTTCTCCTGATGTTGAACAGGACTGGTTTTTGTGAATGAGGTTCTGAGGATTGCCTCTCTTTTTGGCTGAAACTCTCACATTTTATCCTAAGCAGCTTGGGCACAGTAGCAAGATCTGTAGCAAAAGTCATGGGGGTTTCCACAGCTATAATTTACCATTCTCTCATTGTCCCATGTAGAATTCCAGGAATGCAGCCTGTCTCTTGGACAAGGACTGCACTGAATGAGGCTCTAACACCAGCCTTCCACAAGGTCACTTTTAACACCTCAGTTGCTGCAGTCAACACTCACAAAAAACAACAGGAACAAAATAAAGTGGCTGTTTAATTTGCTTACAGTTGTTATGTGGTCATCAGTGACTGAAACTCTGAAATAAACCCCTAGGAAAGGGAAGACCTGAAGCCCTCTCAGTACCCTCGTTCTTTGCTCTTGGATTTGTGTTATAGTGGAGTCTATTAACTGCACATTATTAATGGTTGATCTGCCACCATACAAGCAATATCAAAATTAATTAAATGCCGGTTTCATGCCCCAGTTTGCTGCTATATTGCGTGATCTGGCTCTGCTCCAAGTTTGTCCAGTGCCATAAAAGTCCTGCCCAGCTCCTCCCCAGCTGCAGAGAGGGAGAAATTCCAGCACACACCCTCTGCCCCCTTGCTGCTTTCCCAGGAGACAGACAGAGGCAACCCGTGCACTCTGAAGGACGGCACAGAGGGAACTAGAAGGGGGTTTGAAAAGGCTTCACTGAGACAGAAAGCTCACTCTGGGAGAAAGCAAAGGCTGGTTATCCTACACTGCTATTGCAAACCTAATCCCAGATCCAACAGCTTCACCTATAAATAAATATAATAAATTTCTTTATTAAATCACTGAATAAGACAAGTGTCCTGTGTCCTCAGCAAAGGAAAACTCAAAAATCCACTGTGCAGCGATGCCTTGGGTTTCCAGGCGTCACCAGGAGGGCTGACTCTGCAATTTTTAGAGGCTGGACCAGCTCCACAAGCAGGGATTGCCAGAACTTCTGTGAGCAAGGGTTCAAGCTCAGACTTGCAGATTAGCATTTATTTCCCAGATGCAATTCAGGTGCATGCAGACACCACAAACACAGAGCTCTGCACAGTTTGTATCAGAATAGAAATGCTTCAGATGTTAGGTCTAAAAATACCTCAAGTGAAGGCACTCCTTTATTGACTGGCTGTGGGTATTCCCTCAGAAGTCGCTCCTCATCCAAAAACTTCCCATCTCTCCCATTGCTTGCAGGCTGGAACAGTCCATAATTCAGGACATCTTTCAAACTCTGGTTCAAAGTGCACAAAATCCGCTGCTTTGCAACCCACACTGAAGCTTCTGGGTTAAATCTAATGCATTTCTGCAAAGAGAAAATATTTTAAGGAACTCCATTAGTGGAAAAAAAATTTAAACAGCGTCTTACATTCTAAAATTTACAAATATTGTGAGTATTTAGGAATATACACAGTAAGTATATAAATTCAATGATAAGACGTTGCTCAACAAGAATTCTATCTCAGATGTGCATTGATAATACCTAATGCACAAGTACTGGGAAAACACAGGACATTTCAAGTCCTTCCACAAACACCAGGGAAACACACATATCCTTGCTCAGAGAGAGAGCTCCTTCATGGAAAACCTATTCAAAAGAGATGTTACAAGGTGTTTAATCCACTTGATTCTTGGCTGTTCTATATCAGTTAGATTCACAAGGATTTCAGCAAAAAAATTATATTCAGGCAAGAATTCCACTTCCCTTTTAGCTACATTTATCTGAGAGCAAGTTTGGCAGGAACAGTACAAGGTGAAGCAAATGACTTGAAAATCTGGACAAACTTTTCCAGTTCTTTGCTTCTTACCAAGCTGGAATTCAGGGTCCTGAGGAGTTTAGGGGTTTTGCCCACACTGCAGTCACTGGTTCCAAGGTACCAGCAGATGGCAATGCCTAGAAAGCAATTTGGGGCCTCTGATGTGCATCCTGAACACACAGTGCTGTTTCTGCTTTAATCCTTTACAGTCTTCAGTATAAAATGAGATGTCAGATTTTGTCACAAGTAAGGCTGGTTAGGAAGCAGCTTTCATTTCCTTTATTTATTTTATATTTCAAGATGTATTGTGAAAAATTTGGGGGTGGTTAGACATTGAAGGGAAGGAGAGAGGGACACAAAGCAGATTGGAACAAGTATTTTCTTTCCCAAACATCCCAGTAGTTACAGCATTGACTTTGCAAGGCCAATCTGTCTGAAATCCCTGTGCTCCTTCTGAACCTCACTTGCCCCACGACTCCTACATGGATTCAATCTTCAATACAAGATTCAGACTCAAACATCAGCACTTTTCACAAAACTGTCAGTTACAAGGTGTGTAATGAGCTTAACTTCTAACATTATCCACACATTATCCACACATCCTGAAAGATTACAAAGAGTGTTATTCAAATGGGAAGATAATTTTGAAATTTTATGTATTTTTTTTCTCCCAGGAAAGTCTTTCTTACATGAAACAAACTAATTTTGGACTTTTATGATGCTGTTTTGATTTTTAAAATACAAAGCAGTTACTTCTGATCACAGTTTAATTAAGTCTGCTGGATTTTAATGCACTCGGAGAATCCAACATTTTCAATTTTGTTCAGTCTGTTATTGTGTTCTCTCTGTTCTTTATGGCAGGCAAATATTTCACAAACTAATTCAGTGAGAGTCCCAGCTCTTCTAGTGCTTTGTAAGAAACAAAAGTGGGCTCATTGTAAAAATTGCTGAGCCCATTAGCAATTTAGAATGAAATAAAATCAGATATGTAAAAGGTAAATCGAGAACTGAAGAATTTTTTGCTACCAAAATATTTCAGACTGAGAAAAGTGAAAGTAGTGAGAAAAGCGATTATTTATGCTTTCCATGAAGCCAGGCAGGATAGAAGTGGAGCTGTTACCACTCTCTCAGAGGCAGGTGCTGACCAAGAGGATAAAAAGGGGCACTCAGATGCTGCATAAGGTGCATTTTCCATCAGCCTGTCCCTGGAACAACTCCACTGTGCTGCTTCTGTGTCGTCCTGGCAGCCCTCCAGGCAGGGAGCACCACAGCCACCCCTCTATCCTGCAGACAAGTCATTTCTTACTGCCACACTCTGTACCCTGAGGAAACATCAGCTCAGGCACAGCAGGACCCACACACAGGCTGCTCTAGTTATGAAATAAGGAACAATTCATCAGGCACACATGGCATGGTGACCACAAGGAAAGGAGACAGCAGCAGAGTCAAAAAAAAAAAAAAAAAAAAAAAAGGGACAACTTTTCTAATCTTCAACCACAAGAAATAAAAAAGAATGGGGATAGTTTGGTGACAAGGAACTACAGAAACACATGAAACAAAGATGTTTTGTGCTGACAGATAGATTCACTGTAAAAAAACCACGAAGAACAACCAAAAAAAAAAAGCCCTGAGTGGCTCATAGTCACTGTCAAAACCACATCAGGGCCCTGAAAATGCAAGTGTAGCAGCAAGACAGCATGTCAGCACTGGCTGCTGAGAGGCAAGGCCTGTGTGTGGGATGTGAAAGCTCCTTGCATCACGGCAGACACGGTCAATTAAAATCTTGCATTCCTGCATGCTGGTGAGAGCAACTCACTGACTGAAGGGCAGGATGGGAAGCCAGGGAAAATACAATTCCCCCAGCTGAAGGGAAGATATTAATTCAGTAGGAATAATGCTCATGATACAGAATGTCTGAGGGATAATATTTATCTGCTTAAAATCAATCAGCAAACATCTCTTTCTTCTCGGCTGTCAATCACACAAACTGCTGTGACTGACAGACACGACAAAATGGTTTGTACCTCTAAAAATATGTTTGTGCCTCTAAAAATATGATTGCCAGGATATCAAAATATGAGTTATTCCTTTCAATGGGAGATGTTGTTATTAAAGATGTGACAACCAAAAAGTGGGAAACACAAATGAGAATTTGTCATCACGGAAAGAAAAGGAAACAAGAGCCTGATTTTGGTTTGTGCTGTGTGCAGCTTGATTCTCTGCTGGAACACTGCTCTCCATCAGGAAACACAGAATCCATGAGGGGACAGCCAGCAAAACCAGTGTGGCCAGGCTGCCAGCAGATCACCTGCCCACATCAAGGGCATTGAACAGACACCAGCAGCACAATGCTTCTCTTGTCAAACTGAGGATAAAACAAGGAAGAGCAAACAGAAAGCAGCAGGGGAACAATCAGGCACAAAGTGGGATACAGAAGAATACTTGGGAAAAGTTGCAAAAGAAAACCTGGAGTATCTGTGAGGCAGCAAAGACTGGAAATAAATGAAAATGAGGCATCCCAAGGAAAAATGGGACTCGAGCTGCAGTTGTGACAACTGGGTTCCTACTCTTTTTAAAGTAAAAATTGCACAAAGTAAACAAAGTGTTTTATCTGAGAAGAAAAAGTACTAAAGGAAAATATTCTTAATACTAAAAACCAACAAATAATTTAAAAAGTAAAGAAAGGATACAAAAGGATAAAAAGCAATGCAGAAACAGAACACCAAAAAGTGTCTCCAACTTAAGCTGTTGCTTTATCAAACTGCCACTTTCCAAACAACATTTTGCATGGAAAGTCCAATATAATTTTTAAAACTCCAAAAACCAGGGGAGAGAGGAATCAGTAAATGCTCATTATTGAAGTGAAGCAGCAGAACAGATGGGCAGAAATCATCTCAGAGAAGTCTGCATCAGACCCAAACCCACCTCAGCCTCAGAATTTAATAAAATATTCATTTCAACATAACCCAGAGGGAGCACATAAGTACAGGATAAAACAAAAGAGTGGAACAAGCACCATGTGTTGATAATAAAATGATGAAAACATTCCTTAAAACAACTGGCTGACAGAACTGTTCTCAGTGTCTGTGGCAAAGAGCAATTCTAAGCACAAAACACCATCACTGTCAGAATATCAAACTAAAGGAGATTTTCTTGACAACAGCTCCTGAAGAGCCAGACTGATTTCACTTATAGGCAGCATCACTTGGGATTTGTTCCTACATGGGCTGGAAAAGCAAATGGATACAAGATGACTGGGCCTGGATGCAAACCAAATAATATATTCCAGATAATACAGCTTTTTTACCCACTCTCCTTGTGACTATGGAGGGCTTTCCATGCTCTCCATTCCCTCAGGAGATTTACTGAGCTCAGGAAATCTTTCAGTCACTCATTTAAATATTCTCCACCCTCCTGTGAGAAGGATGACACTCATGAATACAGGTCATGCACAGAGGCAATAAGAAATTATCATTTCTACCAAGAAATGTTTCAGTTACCACCTGAACTGAGAAGGAGAAAAAAAAATTGATATAAGAACTGAAAAGCAATTGTTCTTAAGGGCTCTGTATGAACTTGTCAAGGTTCACATTGTCTTCCAAGTTTCAAACGAGAATAAAAGAGCAACAAGACAGACTTCCTACAATGAGTGGTAATTTGTAAAGTTTTCCATGGCAGCACATCCTACTCGTGCTGCTTGGTGCTTATCTCATACCTGCAGTGAAATAAAGGCAGTTTGTACCACAGCCACTGCAGATGAGCAAACTTCATTCTCTGGGATTTTGGCTAAGGTTTTAAAGCTTCCCAGTGGGCTGAATTTTATCTAAACCCCTAAATTTGTCTTCCTTAGAACAAATATAGTCTTGATCACGCTCCCTAAAAACCAAAAAAAGCAGAAAACTAAATTATGTTTTTTTCATGCTTCTTTGATTAAACAGACTAATTTTAAACACCTTGTATGTTAAATTAATCATAATTATACAGGAAATGGGGCCTATGTTTGCTCTGGCTTGTAGATGTACAACAGCTCAAACTGATTTTCTCCACAGTTTGCTCCACTACATTTAATCCCACAATATTCCTGTTTGTTAACCTGAATCCAGGTTTTACTTTCTTGGACAAAGAGTTTGTGGGCTGATAAATACTTGCTTTGGAACTGCTTAAAACAATTCAGTTACTTTTCATGAAGAGTTTATTGAAAAGGAAAAACAAAAAGTAAAGCAATAAAAATGAACAAATGATAAAATTAATTTTAGAAATTGTCTCGATAGTGTCAATAAACAACTTACTATTGATCTAAAAACCAGAGTAATTAAAGAAGAGCACTTCAGGAAGCTATTATCCCTGTGGTTTTAACAGCAGAGTAAACACAGCAAGTAAAGCTGGTATTTCCATTCCATTTCCATGGATCTGTTCATTGACAGGGTCACAGGCAGAGCAAGCTGGTAAGATCATCAAAAAAGAGCTCCAGAACCACACCTGAGGGCACACTGTCAAAACAGCTCTTCCCTGCCTGGCTGCAGCCACCCATCTCTAGCATTCTAAAAATGAACTTAATTAAGAAGAAAGGAAGAGTTTCATCTGAGAGAGATCTTCCATGGCAGCAGGGCATGATGTAGTTCTCACATGTCAGCACAGAGTGATGTACGTGGCTCACATCCATTAAATGGATGTGTTTTATAATCATCTTGGAAACTCCAAAAGGCTGGTGCTACCACTGAAAATCCCGGCAGCAGCATTCAGGGAGACCCGGGGTAATTCAGATAATTCATAACAAACTCGGACAAATTGTGGTTCTAGATGGAATCAGACTCTCCCGAGCCCCTTTCCAGCGTGACACTGTTATTCCTATCACAGCACTTGTGTTGGTTTCTCTGGCTGGAAGGTTCAGAAATAACACCCTGTAGTAAAGGCACGGCAGCAAAGGAGGAAGGAAAGGTTTATTTGTGCTTCTCTTTCCTCATCTTAACACTCTAGAAGCCACAGGCTCTCTAAAAGGGATGTTTTTTGTGTGGCAGGGTGACAGAAAAGAACAAATACAGTAAAGAGAGAGAATTTGATGACTTCTTGCAGGACCCTGGTCTAGTGTCAATCACAATCTCATGAGAAGAGGAACCAGAGAAGCCATACATATATGAGACTTGCACAGAGTTAACAGGTGACTTTTTTATTCAGTCTTCATCTTTTGATGAGGTTATGGGTTCCTAAGTCTCTTTCTTTCACCCAAAATCTCTCAATGCAAATCAGAGAGATATTTTGCTTTATGAACATGGCTTTCATCAGGTTAACACACTAAATCCACTCCCTTGGGAGGGATGGTGCCTGTAGTTGAGGCAACCAGTCAGATAAACCACTGGGGTACAAAGCATAGACGTTAAAATAAAACATGAATTTCGTCTGTAATATGTAAAAAAAAATAAAAGGGAAGAAAAGGGAACAGGTATCCTGCAGATTGAAGGCAGCAAGGCTAATCATTAATTTCACTTTGTTTAATTGCAGTGCACTCTGCCTTACCGTTTGCTGCAGGTCAGGTATGATAATTCGAATCACCAAAGTGTTGCTCTGACTGTCCTCCATTCTGCTGCTTGGCTTTTCTGCAGTTGCTCTAATTGTGTCATAAATAGTTTCTTCTTTGGAGCTGTCTGATTCAGACTCAACAGAATAGTCAGAGAAGCTTTGTGCCATTTCATCTTCACTTGATGTAGGGCTACGAGGCATGTTAAAGTTTTTTATTCTGCCAATACAAAGGAGAAAAAGAAAAAAAAAATAAGTTACAGTTCAAGTCTTCAAAATGAATCAGCTACAAATTTTTTTCATCTTGGAAATAACATACATTTAACAAGGAAGTTTTATGGTTTATCCTCGTTTTATTTCTTTCTGTCAATTATGTGGGTAGGCAGAGTGTAAAGGAAATAAATCTGGCTACCAATTTACTAGAGAAGAGGAAGGGCAGGAGAAGGAAAAAAGAGTCATAAAAAAGATGACCTTCCTTCCCAGGCACACCCAACCTCCCAACGAATCCAGAAAAAACAGCATTATTACCCAGTCCTGTGCTAACCAACACTGCTGTAAACTGTACTAAAAGATAGGCCTGGCTTTGAAGCCTCCTTCTCCCAGTGAAAATAAATTTCAGGGCATTAATGTAAATGCTAAACTAACGTCATCCTGTAGATCAAGAATCTGCACAGGTGAGGTTTTCATAAAAGTCAATATTCCTAAATAGTGGAACCAACCAAAAAATGACATTCTACAGGGAGCCAGACAGGCACAGGTGCTGCTCTGTGGTTTGTGGCTCACACGACATCCTAATAAACCAACACTGCCTAAATCTGAGCATTATACATACCCAGAGCTCAGAAGCAGTTTTAGTCTGTGATACAGCTTAGGCTAAAATGAAAGTCATGTTTATTCCAGACTAAAGACATTTGTAATAAGGGTCCCACACTAAGAACAGCAGAACATTTTCCTTCAGGGCTTTTCCACCTACAAGAGCTAAAGAATTTTTTTGTCCCTCAAACTCAAAGCTGCTTGAGGATATGAAAATTATTATTCTATGGAAAAATGGAGGAACACATTTACAGTGAAAAAAACTGAAAAGACCAACAATAAACTCTGCAGTGCTTGGACATCACATAATTTTTCAGATTTAGGCCAGAAAAATGCATTATTGTTTTTCTTATTTTCCTATAAGTAATCTTCCAAGACAATTCCTCTGCTTTCTAACTCAAAATAAAAAATTCAGTTAAAATAGAAATAAATAAATGAAGGACCAAACAAGCAGTTCCACTGTCAGCTCACATTTAAAAAGAGACAGTAAAGCAAAAGTGAAGCATGGAAGGGTGAAGTGACTTGACCAAGGTCATTCATAAACCAGGTGACTGTACTGAGGTATCCAAATACACATTTTCTGTACAGATCAGCCCAAGTAAATAAAGTCAAACAACAGCAAGGGATAAACATTTTTTCCCACTATGTCTTACACTTTAGTTTAAACCAATTTAGTTGAATTCATTCCCTCTTCCCAGCCCGGTCACTGTGCCAGCAGTGGCTCCAGAGCAGGGACCAAAGGCTGCCACTGTCATTTCCCATTTTAAGGTGCTCAAAGGTTGGTTGGGCAGTGGTGGGTGAGGCCTGAGGCTGGAGGTCAAGGACAAGCACTCCCACAGCACATCATATCACATCCCCACATCATCAAGCCTCATTCTGATGAAGGGTAATTCCAGTGTTATTACCCTCAGCTAAAATTACTAATGAAGACAAAACCAGAGCATTCAGAAATCTGAAAGCAAGCCAGTTCACAGCAGCTTAATGCAAGGCTCTATTTACAAAGGAAAACTCTGCAGGGAGTATTTCATTTTTTTGCTGCTTCACTGAACTGTAGATTAATGCTGCTCTCCAAAGCACCTTAAGTCAATAAAAAGCATAAACATTTCTGTGGCTTCTTTATTTATCTGCCACTGCTAAAACATGTGAACCCAAAATAAAGCAGGACAATACACAGAATTTAAGGGCATAAGAGGTACAGACCAGCGAGTGTGAGCAGAAAGACATCACACGGTTTGTCTGTCCCTAAAGCCATCTGAGAGAACAACACATTCCAGGGCAGTGGATTCGACAGGCAGCAGCAAACTGCAGTTATACAGCAGCCAAACAAGGAGTTGAGCTAGGAGGAAAAAACTTCCCTGGGTTTTGGTAAGTGGATTTTCATGCAAAAACTACACAGGAATATCTCGTTCTAGAATAAGAAAGGGAAATCTCCAGCTGAAGAACCAGCTCCCAGGAATCAAGCCTTTAATAAATAGTGGGACAAGGAGCTCCTTGAAGACTCATCAACAAGGCACAAGACACCTAATCTTCTGGAAAATGATGCACAAGTAAATGAAAGTCTGTATCCACAGTGGCAAAATGAACAGGATATGGGCTCCACCAGCACAGCAGAGAAACAGAACATTTAACACCATTTTTTAAACAGGACTATCTGAAAACTGGAGAAACTGGCAATTGGTTTGGCTCAAGCTGTGTGGAGATGGAAGATTCCACCATGTGTCAACCAGAGCCACTGGCTATCACAGCTGCCACAGGGAAGGTATTATCTTTTAGGAACTGTTTTACTTTTGTTCCAAGGATATTTCAAAAGATTGTTCCACAACCAAACTTATTACATCAAAAAAATAAGGCAGGTTGCCTGCCTTACTAATTAATACTTGTATAAGCCATGAAAATATTGCATCCCAGGTTCCTAATTCCTAGCTGGCAATTCATTGGTTCAATACAGCTGAAACATAGATTAGATTTATCATGATTGTCTGGAATGCTTTTTTTCTTTTTTTTAAAAAAAATAAGCCAAAAACCCAACAGATCATGGAATTCCTACAGTTAAACTGATCATGTTTTGTTTGTGGCTGCTTTGGGTGTAGGGAAGTGCTAGATGCTGACAAGATTCTCTGTAAATGAATAAAAGCAGATGTCATTATCATCTTGACAATAAACACACAATGAAAAGCGTCACACCACCTTTTGTTTGTTCCACCTCATGTCCTCTGTCCACATTTCTCTGCTCCTGGACACTGAGTGTGCCCCAGCTCCAGGCACTGCCCTGCCCTCTGCACATCCCCTGAGCAAAGCAAGCTTGGCTGCAGCTGGTTAAACACCCCTTTAGACACAGGAAGGCCACAAAAAAGCAGGAAGATGAGAGTGAAAGGATGGCTTTATGCTCCCCTTATTATTGGGCTTTTCCCCCAGCTCCTTGCCCTTTAGCTCAGTGGGAGCAGCAGGATGTGCCCCCAGCCTCTGGGGCCATGCCCAGGTGATGTTTCTCAGACCAACAGTTCAGATGAAAGAAGCAGAGCTCAGACTGCTGCCTTCCCTTTACAGATGATATTTTTAGATTTGTTTTTTTCTCTGTCCAGCCTGCAGCTCCCACAAAATCTGCTGGAATTTCTTATTCTGCCATTTGCTGCCACTGCACCTTTAAGGAGAGTTTGAAAGAGTCCAAACCATCATCATCAAGCTGCTTTTTCTCTAAAAAATAAAAACCTACAAGAACATTGTAAAAGTCTGGAAGTAAACAGTGCACAGGTTATCAAATGGGAAAAAATTTAACTCTCAGAACTCACTCTGAGGGTGAAAGGTGTGCTCCAGTGAGTGTAAACAGACACAGCAGGGGAAAACCAAGAGCTACAACAGATTAATCTATTCTTTGGAGCCTTAAGGTTGTTAAACATCATACACAAGGAATTGAATAAATATATAGGTTTATATTTATTTGTATCTTAGATATTGTAACCTTGATGTGAAAAGGTTTAAAATATCATTAATAGGGAGACACACTGGACAGGGGATCTTCACTGATCCACAGGCATTATCAGATGAACCCACTAAAAAAAACATGTTTGAAAAACTTCAGCTTAATTATGGCTCTGTGTGATTTTGTTGACCTTGCAAAGTACCAAACCCTCCTGGTCTTGTTTGTCCCTAAAACACAGCTGAGGCACAAGCACCAAATGTCTTGTCCAAGGCCACCAAGGCCAGGTCTCAGAGCAAGGTTTTGAATTCAGGGGTCACTGGCTTCTAGTCAAGATAAGACCAATGTGTTTTTATATAAACACTCATTTGCACAATAGCAGCCCTGTTGCCTGCAGGGAGAAGCCCTCCAGACTGCTGCTGCCAGGCCATTACAAACCTACCTGTGGGAATATCTGGGATACAGAGTGGGCTTTGTCACGGGCTGAGTAATGCCATGAACCAGACTGTGAGAAAACTTTGCTGGGAGAGGAACAGTCACTGCTAGAAAGAGGTATTTAGTAATTAACTCTGAAAGAAAACTATTCAGGAAAGGGATTTCTGTGTAAAATCTGCCAGAGCTCCCAACACTTGGATTCTGTGGGTTTATTCAGGATTACACATATCAGCTCAAGAACCTTGACGAGCTGGAGAAGATCAAGCATTTTCTTTTCTAATTATAATAATATTGAAACAAAAATGCAATTCAGACAGAGCTGAAGGTGGAAGGTTGACTTCCAGCACACCATGCATTTCACACCTCCCCATGGTTGGGCAGAAAAGGTCATGCAGAGGAAAATTTGAATTGAAGGCCAACTCTAAATGGCTATTTGCAATTTGATGTATTGAGTCCCTCTGCACTCCAACTTTAAAGCTGACAGAAACCAGCATTACCTCCCAAAAATCAAGCTCACCCTCCTTCTCACCCCAGAACACTCCAGCCTTGTCCCCAGACTGCTCTAACATGAACAGTGAAGCAAAACAAAGCAATGATCCAGGTCAAACTCCAGCTTTTTTTTTTTTTTTTTTTCTTTCTTTGTTCGAGAGGTTAGTTTCAACATCCATCATGCCTCTGAACTGGATCACTATGCAAATGTTTGCAGAAACAGCAGGAGAAGGATGGCACAGGGCCAGAAGTGAACTGCCAGGGCTTGAAAAGGGCAGAACCACTTCATCCAAAGGCAGCACTAATGTTTGCCAGCACGGAGTGGATCCGAGACACCACTGACAGCAGGAGATCTCCCTGCACAGAGCCAGATGATTTACCCCGATGGAAACGTTACCAGCACCCAAATTCCACAGCTCCAAGCAGGGCAGGGCTGAAAGCCACAGACACAAAACTCAGCCAGGCAAAGGCAAAACCTAAAAGAAAATATCCACAAGAAGAAAGGTGGAACATGCACAGGGAGTGCTAAATAATCCACAGCAAAACCTCGGGGGAGATGGGGCACT